GTATATTTAATTACATTAATATATAATAGTATTCAATGTGTATTATATAATTCTAATGTATCATTTTTCTGTAATTTGTATAGTAGGTCCTCTATATCCACCTAAATAGAAACTAACATTTTATACGTTTAGAAAATTTTGCATATAATAAATACGTTTAAGAGGGTATTCTAGTGTGACGGTTTTAAAAAATTGATTTTTTTGCATATTTTTTACTAAAATGTTATAGTTGTATTCGATAAAATAACGAAGTTATACCTCGTTTAGTGTGACACATCAAAGGCCGGCGATAAGGAGAATGGAGTTTCGCAGTAGTAAACGCGTAGTAATCTGTACATATGTATGTATGTGTGGAATTTACTTGGATTTGTGATAGAGGTTCGGAAAAGTGTATTTAAAATAATAATAATAGTTTATTAACACAAGTAAAGAAATAAAATAAAAATTAAATATCGACGTTAATTATAAACCATTTTGTCCATTCTTAAAGTATTATCAATAATGGGGGGTAACAATTGGTGAAGAAACTGAAATGCATGTGAACTATTGTAACAAAACGCGTATCAATCGCTCGGCACAACGCATAAGTGACGTCACTAAAAAAGCCAGAACTGACCGGAAAGAAGAAAGAACAGCTGAACAACATTTGTTTCAAGAAGAGGAAGATCCTCTCTATGGTCCTGGACTAGCAGATTAATATAATGATATATATAATGATATAATGATATATAAAGTTATCCCTACGTAAATTGAACTCAAAACTTTAAACGCGTTTTTCTCGAAACCATGGTTTTGGAAATGGTTGCCGCGATTTGGCAAAAACTATTGTACCAATCGAACTCAAATTTTGTACATGTCTTCAGCACATGTATGGCTATGGTCGGTAGTAAAATTATGCCAAAATATATTTTTTTCTAATTTTTACAGCTTCCGAAAGACGAAAAAAAGTCGAAAAAATCAAAACTTTATATTCAAAGTGCCACCATTTTTGTAATTTTCAATATTTTTCTTTTATTCTACTGCCTACCATAGCCAGAGGCATACTAAATAAGAATCAATTTGATTTTTTTAATTCAGATAAGCAGAACGGCTTAAACCATGGCAACCATCAACGTACTTTTTTTTTTCATGCCCGTGTTTGACGTGCTCCACAGCAGCCATATTTAATTATTTTTCAACAAAAAAATTTATAATCATTCTTCAAAGACATGTAAATATATGTATAGGAATGAAGCTCATGTTAATAACTGTTACTGAACTTCTATAATAAATTAGCAAAAAAGGCCTAAAAAACGGCTGTCACACTAGAGTACCCCCTTAATCATTAATAAGAAAAATATAATTATGCTAATATCTCGTAACCTTAACACAAAATACTTTTTTTTTAGTTACATATTTGAATAAAATTTTACTTTTCGTTTATGCATTAAGTTTAAATGTTTATGTTAGTTATACTGCATTATGATAAATAAAATAACATAAATTGAAATGTTATTAATTCATAAATAAATTGCAAAATAATTTTAAAAATGAAAATGTATAAAACACTTGCATTAAACTACTTATAACATTTTTTGTTAATATTTTTATTAAACC